GGCGCTGAGCTCCTGTACGAACTTATCGTTCACAGACAGCTCTTCGCACGTCACAGTGATGACGCTCCGGCTAGCGAAGTCTTAGACGCCATATATGGCGGTCGCCAAACTCCCGTCGGGCCTGCTGGTCCTCCACTAGACAATATCGTGATCTCACTCGGCGGCAGATCGCTGACGCTTCCGCCCTGATCAGGCGCATGCCCTCCGGATGAGCGATCTCAACCTGCCTGTCCTCGCCATTCAAGCCGCTTATGGCACAGGAAAGACTGTTGTCGGAGCCCTGCTCGCGGCTCGCCGTTCCATCTCTTGCGAGGGTCGCGTTAATTGCAACGACTACGACGAACACGGCGGTGGCCCAGTTCACCGACACCTTACTCCGGCTCGACGACTACAAGCACCTCAGCATCATCCGTTTCGTCTCTGATTCGGCGCTCATCGAAGGAGCCCCCCAGACACCGATCGATCTGCATACCGTGCTGAAGCGTCTTCCTGACGACTACGGTCACCTGATGAGTGAAGAATTGCCGCGAGACCTGTCTCAAGTACCGCCGAGGACGAATCCTGCTGGAACGATTCCTTTTCGAGAACGACATGGCTGTCGATTTGTCAGATGCAGACAAAGATGAATACCGGCTCGCCGAACGTGACATTTCCGACCTTACCAAGCTGGCCGTTTCCATCCTGTTCAAGGTTCGCCCGCCCGCGATCATCTGCATCACCACCTCCTCCTTGCTCAATTCTGTCGCTCCGGGAGGTATCTTCGCTGGTCTCATGGGCTACGTAGCCACCATCATTGGTGATGAAGCATCACAGATACCCGAGCCAGCTCTAGTCGCCCTTACCACGCACTTTTCGTATGCACGGCATATCTACGTAGGCGACATTCACCAGTTGCAGCCTCACGCTCGTTGTCCGCGAACATCTAATCCAGCCCGATTCGGTGCCCAAGGCGTAATGGATATCTTGCTGGCCAAGGGGATTCCAGTGGCGCCGTTAACCACCACCTTCCGCGCACACCCTCTACTCAACGAGTTTCCGAATCTAGCCTTCTACGGGCAAACTCTCGTCAGCGGAACTCCCGCCGAGGATCGTCAGATGTTTCTCTCCCA